CCAAGCTACTTCTTATTTGGAAATATCTCCATAAGTTACCTGTATTATCCATGTTAAATTGTAGCCTCAAGTCCTGATAAGATTTCACTGTTCTGTTGTCGATTAGATCCTCTAATTTTCTCATACCGCTCTCTCTCCACAAATTCCAACAGATGCCTTCCTTTCCCACCCTTATTGCTGGGTTATACCAAATTGATGAATATAATTGTTTATACTGGGATATCTTTAACCATTTGTGGAGTTTGTTCCAGATATTTTTAGAATGCTGTAATATTGGATTATTCTCTTTATGCTCAGCTTCCTTCTTTTGTGCTCTTTTTTGTGACAAAGCTTCTAAAGGCCAAAAGGGGGCAGTAAATTCTTTTTCTATAGCTACCCATCCTAAATAAGTGTCCTCTTTACCACCATGTTTTGTTAATTTAGCCACTTCAAAAGCAATGTTATACAGCTCCACATTTGGCAAAGCAAGACCCCCATCCCTTCTTGTTACATACATTTTTTGTTGATTTATCCTTGGTTTCTTTCCATTCCATAGATATTCCTTTACCATCTGATTATATTGATAATAATACTCTTCACTTATTGAAATCGGAAGCATCATTGATAAATAATTAAATTGTGGCACAATCACCATTTTAATGGTATTAATTTTTCCCCATAATGTTAAATTCAGAACTTTCCATTTCTCCAGACTATACTTTATCTTAATAAGGAGAGGAGCCATATTAATGTGCATTATATCCATTATATTAGCGCACAATTTAACCCCTAAATACTTCATCCCAGTTGAGAGCCATTTAAAATTCCCTGCAGTCACCATGGTAGAATAACAAGCTCTAGAAATTGCCATAGCCTCTGACTTATGCCAATTAACTTTATAACCCGAAATTTGAGAAAATAAATCAACTTTGTCAAGAAGAGCCTGTGTAGAAGATGTCGGCTCTGAAAGCAAACAAAGAATATCATCTGCGTAAAGAAACAATTTATGTTCTCTCCCACCTGCTTCCACCCCTTTAATCGCTCCCTCCCTTCTTATTGCAATTGCTAATGGCTCCATAAATAATATTAACAATAATGGGGACAAAGGGTCTCCTTGTTTTGTACCCCTATACTGTCTAAAAAAGGGGGAAATATAACCATTTGTAACTACAGCTGCCCTAGGCTTTGCATAGATTGCTTTAACCCATGTAAGGAAACCGCTCCCAAATCCAAATTTTTCCAAAATATTCAATAAACACTCCCATTCTACCCGATCAAATGCCTTCTCAGCATCAAGTGAGAAGGCAGCGACCGGCACATCGCTCTCCTGACTTTTCCACATCAAATGAAGTAATCTCCGCATATTATCAGATGAGTACCTTCCTTTAACAAAGCCCACCTGGTCAGGATGAATTAATATAGATAAAAGTTTTTCTAATCTCATGGCTAAAAATTTTGTAAGGACCTTACAGTCAACATTCACCAGACTCACAGGTCTGAAGCTACCAGGATCCAATGGGTCTTTATCTTTTTTTAAGATCACTGATATAAGAGCTTCATAAAAAGTTTCAGGTAGGCATCCTACTGATTTTGCCTCCCTATAAAGCTCTGTTAGAATAGGCGCCAGAAGATCTATGTTAACCCTATAGTATTCAATAGGAAATCCATCTATTCCTGGGGATTTCCCCCCCTTCATAGACTGAATTGCAGCTCGGACCTCCCCCTCAGTAATCGGTGCATCCAGTTCCTCAGCTTGTTGTAGTGATAGCTGAGGGAGTTCGAGCCCAGAAAAAAAGGTTTCCCAATTACTTAGGTCTATCTTGGCGTCAGTAGAATAAAGATTTGTATAATACATCTGAAACAACTGATTGATCTCAGACGTCTTAGTTACTACCTCCCCTTCATTGTTTCTAATTCCTGAAATAACATAAGAAGCCTCTTGTTGTTTCAACTGCCTTGCCAAGAGTTTACTAGCTTTATTTCCATTTTTAAAAAAATTTGCCCTGGTCCTGAAAAGCGCATATTCAGCCTTTTTGTTAAGTAATTCATTAAAATCCATTTTCAATTTACATACTTCTTTTAGTAGCAACTCAATGTAATTTAATAACAACTGCTTTTCTTTGTCTTTTAATTGGGATTCTAATAACCTCATTTTTGCCTCATCCAATCTTTTCTTCCTGCTTGAATATTCAATAATTTTACCCCTGATAAAAGCTTTAGAAGCATCCCAGACAGTACTAAATTTTTCTGTCGATCCAGTGTTCATTTGAAAAAAGAACTTAATATCTTCCTTCAGCATATCCTCAAATCCTGCATCTTGGAAAAGGGAAACATTAAGCCTCCATCGTTTACTTTTAGCCTGCTCCTCCCCTATTACAAGATCCAACGTAACAGTTGCGTGGTCTGTAAGTGCCCTTGCTCCAATTTTACAGCTAACACACAAATCACTCATGCATTTAGAAATCAGAAAATAATCAATCCTTGAATAGGATTTATGTTTATGGGAAAAGAATGTAAATTCCTTTTCTCTTGGATTAACAATCCTCCATATATCCACAAGACCCAGATCTTCCAGTAGTTGGTGAATAGCCTGTCTATCCCTAGGAATCCGTTTGCTATATGTTGTCTTATCCATTATACCATCTTGCACCTGATTGAAATCCCCCCCTAACAAAACTTGTCCATCCAATGACCCCAGAAGCTTATTAATTTCATAAAAAAAATTGGGATCCTCTGTGTTAGGAGCATATATATTACAGAGAATTATTCTACTCCCATTAATTTTTGCTTCAACACATATGAATCTTCCCTCTTCATCTTTATGTTGATTTAATAATACAAAATTCATACTTTTATGCACCAAAATTGCAACCCCCCGTTTCTGACTATTAAAACAGCTGTAGAACACCTGCCCCACCCACATTGTTTTAAGTTTATCCGCTTCCTTATCTGTTAGATGCTCTTCCTGGAGGAATGCTATATCTATCTTTTGAGATTTTAAATAGTTCAAACATTTCTTTCTCTTCACAGGATTTGACAGACCATTCACATTCCAAGTCACCATTTTAACACTTTTAACCATTTTCTCTTTCCATTGACAACCAAGGATCAGAATCAATAAGGATAGCAAAACATAGTATATTACTATAGGTCTGTGATTGTATACCGTTATAGAACCCAGGCTTGTGCTGCTCATAAAAACAAACTATAATCCCCTCAAACAAAACCCTTATACCCACTATCATAAGCTTAATAAGCTTTAAAATAACCCCCCTCCCCCCCCAAAAAAAGAAAACGCTATAGTCCGTGAGGCACGACCAATGACCCCCCTCAACAAATCCTCCGACAGTCCCCCCACCAAGAAAAAAATATATATATATGTGTATCCATACATACACACACCCATACCTACACATATACTATAAATATATATATATATACATATACATATACACATACACATGCATATACATATATACATATACATACAAACATACAAACACACATACATACACATACTTCCCATTATGCCTCTCTGACTGTATCCCTTAATTTTTACATCAACATAGTTTAGAGCCGTATCCTATTCAAATACCATATTGCGCCAAAAAGTAAGATTAATCAAATATTTGGCACACTCCTGAAACCCCCGCTTCCGTTCCTTAGCTAAATTACCGTCCTCCTCCCCAGTGACGATCAATCAGTCAATAGTTCCTCCCTTTACGGTCTGTCCGTCTTTGTCCGACTACATATAAACTCCATTGCCTTTCGGGGATCCTCAAAACTCTTCTTTTCTCCTTTCCACGTGAAACGGAAGGTGGCTGGGTATGATAACATAAATCTAATGTCCAGATCATGCAGCTTCCTTCTTACCTCCGTGAACTTTCTCCTCTTCTCCACTACGTCTCTAGTCATATCAGGAAAGAAGGAAATCTTACAATCGTTCCACTTGATCCCGCCGTCATCTCGAAAACGCTGCCTAGCAGCCATGATCACCCTCTCCTTTTCAAGATAGTTATGAAAACGTACAATAATCTGCCGTGGTGGTTGCCCGTCGTTCGGTAACGGGCCCGGGGTGCGGTGCGCCCGCTGCAGCTCCCTTTCGTGCAGATCAATGCCCAACGCTTCAGCAATAATAATTCTCACCATCTCTCTTGGTTTACCATTTTCAGCGCGCTCCTTAACCCCCACCAGGCGAAGATTTAATCTTCTGTCCCTGTTCTCCATGTCCTGGACAACTCTCCGAAGCTCTTCATACTGACGTGCTCTCTCTCTGGCTTCCTTATTCAGCCTCTCATTCTCCTTTTCCAAATCCATAATCCGTGCATCCGCTTCCTCCAGCTTTTCACCAAGGCTAATAACTTCTGTTTCCATTTTAGCCTGTGATGCTTTCACTTGTGAAACGTCTGCCTGTAGATCCTGCAGAATGCTGCTCACTTGAGCCATTTCCCGCATAGCCTTTTCCAACGTAGACTGCAGCTCCGTCATTGCATTCACTGCCACCGGGTTCGACAAGCCGGCCTCATGACTCTGCGTAGCGTCCTCGCCGTTGTAAACACCGGCTAGCTTGTTGCTACTAGCGGCTACCATACTAGCCGCATGTTTTGCCGATCTCGTTTTCGGATTCACAGTAGACATTTTTTCACACTTTTCTCTTACGCGCTCTAGGATCCTATCGTCGATGGTAGATCACTTTAACATCATAGAAAGTAAAGTCCCAATCATGAAAATCCAGGGGAAAGTGGCTGACCCGTCAGGAGGTCCTGCTCTAGGCGGCCATCATGGTCTGCGGTCGCACGTGACTGAGACTCATTCTTTCTTGAGAATTATCATGTAGGAAATGTGGGTTTTTTTGGTGTTCACAGTAATTGTGTGAGTTCTGTTTAAAGCAGACTGGAAGAAGGTCATAAAAATCCTTGGAATCCTTGTTCTGCTTACTTTTACATCTGGCTGTAAATCTTTCAGCTAACAATTTTGTAGAGTGATATAACAAAAGAAAAATAATATCAGAGAAAACTGACCTGATAATCTCCAGTTTACATTTTGGATTCAGCAGTCCATCAGACAGTGGCTTCACTCCTGAATCATGGATTCTCAGGTCCAGTTCTCTCAGCCTGGAGGACTGGGAGCTGAGAACTGAGGACAGAGCTTCACAGCTTTCCTTGTTGAGGGTACAGTCACTCAATCTGAAGAGGAAACAATACCAGAAAGAATCATTAAGTTTCTCTTGAGGAAAAACAACAGTTATGCATTCAGAAACATATTGCTGGATCTAGACCTACATAGCTTTGTTGGAGGCTTTGACCGCTGGTAGCAGCTTCAGAAGATCCGTCTCTGAAGCAGAAAATTTCTTTAGGTCAAACAAATCCAGATCTTTTTCTGATGACAGCAGGGTGAAAATCAGAGCTGACAAGTGAGCAGCAGACAGTTTCTCTATTGAGAAATATCCTGAACGCTGTAACTTTTGGATCTCCATCACTAGAGAATCGTCATTCAGTTCATTCAGACAGTAGAAAAGGTTGATGTTTTTCTCAACAGACTTATTCTTACTGATCTTCTCCTTGATGTACTGGATGGTTTCCTGATTGGTCTGTGAGCTACTTCCTCTCTGTGTCAGCATGCCTCGTAGAAGAGTCTGATTGCTCTGCAGTGAAAGACCCAGGAGGAACCGGAGGAACAAGTCCAGGTGTCCATTTGAACTCTCTAAGGCCTTATCCACAGCACTTTTATAAAAGACTGTTTCTTTGTCCTCAACAGTCTGATTGAGAGGTTTTGGGTTATTTAAAAGTGAAGGGACTTTATTAGATGTTTCTCCTTCTCCCATCAGGTTGACTCCATAGTTACTGAAGGTCAGATAGCTATGAAGAGCAGCCAGAAACTCCTGAACACTCAGATGGACAAAGCAGAACACCCTATCCTGGTACAGTCCTCCTCTCTCTTCTTTAAAGATCTGTGTGAACACTCCTGAGTACACTGAGGCTGCTCCAATATCGATGCCACACTCTGTCAGGTCTGATTCATAGAAGATCAGGTTTTTTTTCTGCAGCTGATAAAAAGCCAGTTTTCCCAGAGACTCAATCATCTTCCTGCTCTCTGGACTCCAGTGCGGGTCTGTCTCCACTCCTCTGTCATACTTAACTTTCTTGACTTTGGCCTGAACCACCAGGAAGTGAATGAACATCTCAGTCAGGGTCCTGGGCAGCTCTCCTCCCTCTCTGGTCTTCATCATGTCCTCCAGAACTGTAGAAGTGATCCAGCAAAAGACTGGGATGTGACACATAATGTGGAGGCTTCGCAGTGTCTTGATGTGGGAGATTATCCTGTTGGCCTGCTCTCCCTCTCTGAATCTGTTCCTGAAGTACTGATCCTTCTGTATGTCAGTGAACCCTCTGACCTCTGTCACCATGTCAACACACTCAGGAGGGATTTGATTGGCTGCTGCAGGTCTTGTGGTTATCCAGAGTCGAGCAGAAGGAAGAAGTTTCCCCCTGATTAGGTTTGTCAGCAGAACATCCACTGAGGCGGACTCTGTAACATCAGTCAGGATCTTCTTGTTGTGGAAGTCCAGAGGAAGTCGACACTCATCCAGACCATCAAAGATGAACACAACTTGGAACTCTTCAAAGCTCTTTATTTCTTTGGTTTCAGTAAAGAAGTGATGAACAAGTTCCACCAAGCTGAACTTCTTGTCCTGTAATAGATTCAGCTCTCTGAAGGTGAACGGAAACAGGAGGTGGATGTCCTGGTTGGCTTTGTCTTCAGCCCAGTCCAGAGTGAACTTCTGGGTTAAGACTGTTTTCCCGATGCCAGCCACTCCCTTCGTCATCACTGTTCTCGTTTGTCCATCTCTTTCAGGAAGGAGTTTAAAGATGTCTTCTTGTCTGATTTTTGTTTCTGGTCTGAATGGTTTCCTGGATGTTGTTTCAATCTGTCGGACCTCATGTTCATCATTGACCTCTCCAGTCCCTCCTTCTGTGATGTAGAGCTCTGTGTAGATCTGATTCAGGAGCATCGGATTTCCTGCTTTAGCGATCCCCTCAAACACACACTGGTACTTCCTCTTCAGAGCAGATTTAAGTTTATGTTGACAAACCGTAGAAACATGCCCTGAATAAAGATAAAACAATTTTAGGTGATTTTTTATTTTGTGCTTCATTACTTCAGCATTAAATCTTTAGAGAAATAATCTTACTGCACTGCACACGGTCAGCCAGCTCCACCTGTTTGGACCTCCTCAGGAAGAAAACTGTGATCTTCTCAAATGCTTCTCTGATGCTCCTGCTTTGCTCTGCATTCTCCCCCTCCAACACCTCATCCTCCCTCTGACTCTCCTGGCATTTTGAGCTATCTCGACTCAGATCCTTGCAGATCTTATTCAGCTGTTGCTTCACAAAAGCGATGATTTGTTCCCCCACTTGCTGGAATAGAATAATGTTTGAAAGCCACTCAAAACTGATATCATTAAGCTAGACATCAGATCCATACTGGACAAGCTAACAACTCACTGGTTTACAAAGTGCAACATGGAGATGAGTGTGAACATAATACATATTAAAGCAGTTGTAGATGTACAGACCTCAAATATGGATTCCAGCCTTGCTTTAGGTTGCTGGACAGACTGATTACTGGGAAACTTTGTGCTCTGCTGGATCATCCTGTGGAGAATTTACCATCATCGTCAATAAGGGTAGGTTCTTGTTTAGAAATGGTTCCCACTGTTTCAATTAGGAATCGTTTGCCATTTTAGCAAACGATTCTCTGACCAATTCCAGTTTGTGTAAATGACGTCACCACAAATGTTGCGTAGCTTACGCATTTACTAAGCAGTAAACATGGCGCCTAAGCGGCACAAACAACCAAAGGTTTGGTTATACTTTAATTCAATTCAATTCAATTCAAAGATACTTTATTGATTCCAGAGGGAAATTAGAGAAAGGATGACAAAAGGGATAAACTTGAAAAGGAGAAATTTCATCAAATTTCATCAAAAGTAGATATTTCATCAAAGAGAAACACACTGTGAATATGCAAAAGCATTTGCACAGAAAATATGCAATAACTTTAAGTGAATGTCATGGTTTTGAAAGATCATTCATTGATTAATTCTTTAGTGGGGAACTAGGCAGTTTTAGCTAGCTTTTAGCACCCCCTAGTGTCTGTTTGTAGAACTATAGTTGTTTTTTTTTTAACACCTTAACCTAAGGTAACGCCCAGTGGCCTGAATATAAAGGCAGCAATGATCAGTCGGTATGATCAACAATGTTGACTATAAAAAAATTATTTCTGTTGCCAATGCATCACATATACTGATGGAATATTTTGTAACTAATCTGGAGAGCATTCCACAAAATCGGTGCATGAAAAGAAAAAACAATTCCCCTATGATTTCTATTTGGAAAGTGGAACAACCAGTAATACCAGCTCAAAAAGTGGAGACAATTAACTACACGGATCTACTTACACTTCCATCGCTAACAGGTTTTTTGAGCAATTAAATGTGAAGAAAATTTAAAGTACTTCTGTTCAGCAAATGAAGCAATGTTGCAGAAGACAAGAGCAGATTGCTGCTGAGTACTTTAAATTGACTGAAAGACGAGTTTTACATAGTGATACCTGCTGTTTATGTGAAACAGAACAGCTGCTGTTGAACTCCAACTAGATAAACAAAGTGAAAAGTCCAAAAGTTCATTCAGCTCTGATGCTCTCCCTTAATGAGGGAGACTGGAACATTGGTGAGAAACATAATTCAGACTTTAAACGGATCACAAGAGATCGTTGTGGTTAAAGTTAAAGTCCCACTAGTTATCAGCTTAAAACATAAAAACATAATATACATCAACCAAAAGTGATAAATTGGTCCTGATGTTCTTGTAAAATAAATGAAAAAGATGGATTTCTGAATCTTTCTCTGGAAGGCAATGCTTTTGGGGGGTCATTGCTTTAGAGGGTATTCGATCTACAGTAGTATTTCTGTAAATGTCTTTCTGAGACCGCTGAGAGTTTCTGTTATCGTGGAGTTTTCAGATAACTCTACATCATTTAGTAGAAACTCCATCTGATGAAGAGCAAAACCCAGAGCTGAGTGATCAGTTTGGTTCTGGTTCCTGCTGTATTCTGTCTCAGCCATCTTGTTCACTACACAATCGCCATCCTTAAAAAACCTACATTAGTAGAGATGCTTTCAGAATTATTTTCCCTGAACAGAGTTTAACAAATGTTACAGATAAAATGCAACAACTTAGCCTGAAAAAAGAACATAAAAATCCAGCTCAGAGAGACTCAACAGAAAACCATTCTCTTTCATATTTTACAGCTTCATCTGAAGACTGAGAAACACTTACTGTTGTTTATTTGAATCAGATCCCTTAAAATCAATTATATAATACATTGACTTGTCGCTCTTAAAGGACACACAGCTGGTTTCTGGTCCAGTTCCAGGTCCAGATCCAGGGCCAGGGCCTGTTCCAGGTCCAGGTTCAGGTTTTTTCCTATAAATATAGAAGCTTTGGTGACATGACCTTTGAGCCCAGACATTAAGAAGAGTCCTGGAAAGTTAAAGATAATCCTCTGACCTCTGAACTCCTCTCTGGCTCTCATGTTCTCCACAGGATCTGGTTTTAAGTGGATTTCCCTCCTTCCTGCCCTTCCACCGTTCCATGCTGCTGAAGTCACATTTGCTCACACACTTTCGTCTGCAGAAGAAACACGAATCATTTATTTGCACACAAACTGCAACTATCATTGGCATCATTTGTTGTAAAAAGATCAGCTGCTCCTCCACAGATATGTCTCTTCTCTTCTCCGTTTCATCTCAATATCAGTTGAATGCAGCCAGACAGCGGTGTGAGGAAGAGAAAGCAATCATCTGTGGTACTTCTACTACTTATCCACTAGATAGAGTTGCCCAGCCAACACATGATGTGGTATAACTTTTACATTTAATGACACCAGTGGTGGCTCATTCATTCGGGGCGTTGCCCTCGCTGACTAGAAGGGAGATTTATTTGTAATATGCATAAATAAATAAATATATATATATATATATATATATATATATATATATATATATATATATATATAGAGAGAGAGAGAGAGAGAGAGAGAGACTCTCTGAGGTCAACTATAAGTTATATCATGTTTGCTGATCAGATATCAATCCCGACCTTTAATCGTTTTTATGACAACTATCAGTGGTGAGCCACATTGTTAGCTCTCTGACTCATGACTGTTGATGTGACTATTTCCATGCTCTCACTGTTTCCTGCTGATTGTCATTGTTGATTGTTATCAACATCTCCTGGAATAAGTAGTTCAATTATGGAGACATTTACAGGAAAATGTGATAAAGAAACATATAAATTTTACAGATTTTGGCAACTAATCAAACAGTTTTATATGTTATGATTCAGGGAATTAAATCGCTATTACTTTCATTAATAATGACAATTCAACATTTGTAAGCGAAGTTCATTTTGACTGACATAACAAAGTCAATGATGAAATTATACATAATAAAATTCCTTTTCCTGACTCCCTTATTTGACCTGCAAATCACACGTGTCTTCAGAAGACGAGACTTTTACTCTTAATAAAATGATTCTTAGTTTGGTCTCATTAAATGATTTCTTTCAATCTACAGGTTCACAATCATATTCTGCATTAACAAATGAACGTTTAACAGATTTACTCCATATACTAAATGAAATAAGCTTTCTAAGCGTAACAAAAAGGGGAGTGCCTGAGGGTCTTGGTAAACGTCTATACAAATTTCTCAGATCTTGTTTGTCAACGTTTATAAATAACCTTTTCATTAAAAGTGAAATCACTTCCTATCTTTCCCAGTTCCATCAGAGCTCCGAGTTCCTCCAAAGCTTACAGCTCATGCTAAATGGCCATCCTATGGGGAATCAAACCAGTATTTCAGTGGAATAATTTTAGCGGCATATGAACCATCCTTTTTGAATCAACAATTATTTCATGCTCAATCCACTACACACTCATGAGACGTGAAACCGTCTGCCAGAAGCCACTTGGGAAGTATCTTTTGACCAATCAGGCATAGACTGAGGGTGCCTACGATCTTCAGATACATCAGAAGTCCCCTCACTCGTTCTGCGAGACGGCATCACCTGCAGGCCGGATCTCCGGGAGCTTCCACGATCCAGGGTGTGTAGACTTATCAATGGCGTCAGAGTGGTGGATATTAATTTGATAACTTGTTAAATTACATCCAACAAACAGCCAAATTACATAAACCCAGACATCACACCTTTCTGATTCACTTAGAAAACTATTAAAATATACAAGGTCATGTTTCATCAGAGCTCATTCATTGTCTCATTTAAAATCCTTGTCAATCACCATTCATAATCATTTGCCTTTCATTATTAATATAGTTATAAATTTATTAAACTATATTTTTGTTTCTGTGTCAAATTATTATGAAGTGTTTCCCTGGCATACCCAAAGTACCTAATTTTATCATCAATCGAATATTAAAGGCTCAATAATAATGATCATCCATATTTTTATGGAAATTTACATTTTATTGAATACAGTACGTACCTTTATATTCTATTGACAGTTTATTAAAAGTAACCACTTACAAATCGTTACAACAGCGAGATCAAAACACCGGCTGCCGAAGCGCAAAGAGAACCAAACAAGTTGCAGAGGTTATAAACATCGGTTATAAATTCAGAATAGATTTTAAGATCCTCCTTCTCACATATAAAGCTCTTAATAATCAAGCTTCATCAGACATCCGTGACCTGATTTTTCCATACGTTCCTAACCGAGCACTTCGCTCTCAGACTGCATTTTTACTGGTGGTTCCCAGAATATCTAAAAAATAGAATGGGAGGCAGATCTTTTAGTTATGTAGGGTAAATATTCTGTTGCTTTTAAGCTTAATATATTACCTTTACTTATGACCAATAAGCTGTGGTATTCTATATAAATATAGAGTATCACTCTGATTGGTCTTTGAATGTTTAATCAGAAGAATTAGGATTCGTTGCTTTTTCAGTAATCAAACACACTTCGTATTAATTCAAGAAGAGAGTCAAGTTTATAAAAAGTAAGAAATTTATTTTCTAAACAATTAAAAACATGTCAGCTAGGAACACTTTATGTGATGAATGATGATGTATGAAC